AAAAAATCTTTGGACCTATTAAAGATGCTAACAGCGGGGAATGGAGAGTGAGAAGCAACAACGTAACACATAATTTGTTTAAATCATCATTGATCACTGGCATCATGAGAGCTAACAGGCTAAAATGGTTAGGGTATATTGCAAGAATGTCAGATGACAGAGAAGTTAAAAACTGTATTCACCTGAGAGAGGAATGGGCGTAGACGACGAGGCAGACAAAATGAAATTTGAGAGATAATGTCCAGCCAGACCTGCAAACAACTGGTGTCACAAATTGTGAAAATAAGGCCAGCCAGAGAGATGAATGGAGACGAGTGATATCTGCAGCAGTAAACCTTAAGGTCTCAGAATGCTAAAGAAGAAGATGACTATTATGTACTACTTTATGTAAAGTAAAAGTTCAGCGTACATTTGACATTATGAATGTGTGTGTGTTTAGTTTTGTAATATATACATTTTATTCACTTCACACTATTCGTATTCGGCAGAATAGTTGGTCCCGCTATTCGTATTCGGCCGAATAGTGAAAATCCCTATTCGGTACTGCCCTTCAAGAACCGACATCACAGCACTCTGGGCATTCCTATAAGCGCCCTGTCCCCATTTTCAGCAGCCAATACCATTATGATTATTCTTTCTTCTTGCCATTTCTTTGAGCGTTGAGTATCGACTAGAACCCCTCGTTACTCCCCGCTGCATCACTCTCAACAGACTGTGGTGATCCATTTGCTCATTCGAATTGTACACGTTCTCCCACAAGGCCTTAACCACGTCTACCTTATCATGCATCAGTATTCCACCAAGTTGTGCAGAGCCAGCCAGTCTGTCCGCCTGTTCGTTTCCCAGCACATCTGCATTACCCGGAGAGAAAAATGCAGACAACGCTCCTCAGAGCAGAGAATGCTTTTCACACTGTATCAGCACCTGATCCTTTCAGTGGTTGATTGTGGCTGGTTACCATTTCAAACCCGCTACGCAGATGACACAGTCCTCCTTTCGAACAGCGTAAAGGGAATAGAACATTTAATATTGTCCGTCCAAAAGCACAGTTAGGATCAAAATCTGTTCTTGAATTTAAAAAAAAAATAATAATGTCCACAGATAAAACTGGCTGTCACTCAAAAAATAACAATAAATGATGAAGAAATTGAAAATGTCACAAACTTTGAATAACTAGGCTCTATAATAAACAACAATGGCGACTGTTCGACAGAAATTAAAAGGAGGATGGCCATAACAATGCAAAGATTGAACAGCCTTAAAAGTCTATGGTTAAGCACCAGCAAGGAGATAAAAATTAGAATTTTGAGAGCATGCATCTTCCCTGTGGCTACATACGGATGTGAGTCGCGGACTATCTCTCAGTCCTTAAGAAAGAGAATAGGGGCTTTTGAGCTGAAATGCTATAGAGAGATTCTCAGAATATCTTGGACAAAGAAGATGAGAAACATTGACATCTTAAAAGATCTGAACATCAGGGAAGATTGGCTAATAAACAGCATCTTTTCTCGAAAGCTGAAATATTTTGGTCAGATCAAGCGCCACGACGGATTGGAAAAAATTATAGCAGAAGGCATGGTACCAGGAAGGAGTGGCAGGGGCCGACCGACACGAAGATGGGCACAGGATATAAGTGACTCCTTGAGTGTGAAAGTTCATGAGGCGGGAGAACTGGCAAGTGACCGAGTTTATTACAGGCAGACTGTGATGAGAGCGACGTTCTGAAAAGGACTAGCTACATGATGATGATGACCGTCTCAAACATTCAGATGGACAAACTAGAGCGCATACACAACGCAGCTATGCGGGCCATTCTGGGTTGCACCAGAGACACCCCAGTGGTGTGTATGCGATACATCCTTGATTTGCCGACTGTTGCAGGTAGGCACAAGGTGCTGTAGGCGAACTCATATCTCAAGGTGGCTGCAGACACAGATCACCCTTTGCGCGAAGCTCTGGACACAGTTAAGGGTCAAAGGCTGATTAGAGGGAAGTCATGGATGGCTTAAGCAGAAGCCACAATCAAACGGGTCTGCAGCCTGAAAAACATTAGGCGAGGAGAAGAATGATTTATGTAGAGTCATAATCACATTGAGCAGAGAGTGGCCAGCAGGTGCCGCGAAGTGGAAAATTAGCAATTAATTATAACTTAATACTCGTTCAGATGATTTTAATTAAATATTTGTTAAAAACGTTCAGAAAGTGGAAAAAAAAAAAAAAAAGCGAAACAACAAAACAAACAGAAATAAACAAAACATTAAATGAAGAAAGCAGCACAGAAATATTGGGCATAATAGTGTTGCTTTTCGTTGAAGTTGCATGGGTAATAATGATGATTTTCTAAAACATTTCTACACCCAAACAGTTAGTGAAAGATTGTTAGTTTAGTGAAACAATCCATACAGCCCCACCGCACTAAACTGAGATTTTGCTTTCGTAGTCTAGGGGAGAGGATGTGACTGTCGCAGTTAGCTTGACAGCAGTGTGAGTGGAATATGATCACAGGATAAATCCAAGAGAAGACAAGTCGTAGAGCTGAGCATGCACTGGAGGTTGAAAGAACATTAGGGAGCTGCATGGCCGCAATGACTAGCTCACTCGCCTGCCGGTACTGTTGTCTTCTTCTTCCTTTTTTCTTCTTCCTTCTTCTTCTTTCTTCTTATTCTTCTTCCTTCTTCTTCTTCTTCTTCTTCTTCTTCTTCCTTCTTTTTCTTCTTCTTCTTTCTTCTTCTTATTCCTTCTTCTTCTTCTTCTTCTTCTTCTTCTTATTTTTGTTTTCTTTTTTCTTTTTCTTCTTCTTCTTCTTCTTCTTCTTCTTCTTCTTCTTCTTCTTCTTCTTCTTCTTCTTCTTCTTCTTCTTCTTCTTCTTCATCTCCTTTTTCTTGTTTCCCACCACTATTTCTTTTACTACTTGTGGTGTCGAAGGAGACTCAGGGCTCTGCTTCTTGCTCTCCTGGCCACCCCAACAGTAGATAGATCGTGATGTTGTAGAGGTTCTCTGATGTTATCTTTCTTTCAATACGATCTTGAGCTGAAGACAGGACACCCCAAGCAAGTCAGTTAGTTTACGTACCCCCTTCCCCCGTCCTTTCCCCCATTTTCTTGTAAATCTTGTCACGTCCCCCATCCTGTAGTCTCAGGCTAGATTTTTATGGAGACAGATTTTTCAGACTGACCCTGGCACCAACTGGGTTCACTCTAAAATGAGTGCTAGAAAGAACTAGTATGTCATTTTTTTTTTTTAAACGAGAATTAATTAGATATTAGATGCTTACAGAGATGATTTTTGGAAGTGTTATTAAAAGAACGGAACATGACAATCTGACAAAATATCTGACAAATTTGGCTGGTGGGTGGGGGGGGGGGGGTGGGGGGGGGGGGGGGAGGGGGTAGCATGGGAGACAAACACACAAATGACCTACAGTAAAGTCTCGGTATACAACCGCTTCCAAACAATTCCAACACTGTTTGCTTCCTTGAACCAGGTTCAAGTAGGGGTCAGAGTCAGAAGGGGTGGGGGAACAATACCAGAATTTAGGATTCCTGAAGTTTTATTACAAAGGAACTCTCCTTCCAAACAAAAACTTCGCCGCCCTTCTCAGCACCCTAGTTGACATGCAGCTCTTCTCACCAAGGTAAAGTCAGGTTACATTTTCATTTATTTCATCTAAGTGCTTGTCTATGTGTGTATGTTAGTATTAGGCAGGTGTTGATGTTGTTATACAAGTCTATCAATGTGTTATATGCCCATAACAGTGAGTTGTTGTTTTTTTCCCCAAGGAAACGGTTTAACAATTTTTCCTTTTTTTTTTTTCCTTTTGAGAAAATTTGTTTTGGATGCGTCCTGTTTGGTATACGTCCAAGGATCTACTGTAGTTCTTCATGAAACAGATAAACACAGAATTAATAGTAGATATTGGGCATAGAGAGTCATGATTTCTGGACGTTACAACAAGACAAGAACTGGAAATGAGAGTGGTAACCGGCGAACTTGATGGAGCAGAGAACCAGAGGGATACACACAGATACGAACCCAGGTAGCTTTGTTACAAAGCTGGCGGCATCTGTGGCTTAGGCGTTGCGAACACGCTTCGTGTTGCTGAAGTGATGGGTTCGATCCCAGTTTCAGGCGATTTGGCAGCAACTGCCTTGGGTGCTTTATTAATATCCTACCCCGAACGGGAAATCCACAGGTCATGGGACAGTCTAATATTTCAGGGAGTGGTAGATAGACTGCATACAGTCGTGGGACCGAGGCTGCATGCAATCGTTGGAACTAGGCTGCACTCTCTCGTGGGACGTAGGTGGGTTGGGGTTTGGGCTATTTCTAGATGTTTTGGGGTCATTAAAAGCAACAGAAAGCCGGGGAACCCATCCTTACTACACTCTAAAATGTTGGACTGTCCTGTGCTATCATCTGGGGGTAGGATATTAATAAAGAACCCTGCCTTGAGTTGGTTTCAACAGAAGTACCCAGAGTCGACCGTTTAGTGCAGTGGCAAGCTGCTGAATGTTGTCTCTGCAACGATGTAAAGGACGTGCAACTAACTTTTTAACTCGTTACAAAGTAAAAGCCGGAAATTAACGGAATGGTAGACGACGATGATAGGGGTAGTGATGATGATGATGATGATGATGACGACATTAACAAAGCAGGGTGACGTAAAGGATTAGATGAAATTAGTAAATAAATATTTTAACAGAACTTAGGAATAGGAACGGTAGGGATAGGCATGATCGCCTTTGCGAGCTGCAAAGACACATAAAGAGAGAAAGCGTATAACTTTAGGCTGAGGGTCAGAAGCAGAAAATGTTAGCAATAAATACATTGCAGCCCTTCTTCGTTGTGAAGCCTGACCTGATTTAGTTGAGCGCGCGCACATATGCACACCCCCCCCCCCCCACTTTTTCCCCCGGCCAGTGTTTATAAAAACATTACATTATCGGTTGGTCACTCCTACTGATTTCTCATCTCTTGCTAGTTTACTGGCTGTTGAATTCTACTCCTGGAAAATGCCATAGAAAGTCATGATCAGGACGGAATCTTTTTTCTGGAACAAGCAGACGGCGTAGTTGTCCGTCTCTGCGAACTTGAGACTCCGGTCTGCCACGATGACACCCTGTTTGTTCAGTTGGAACATTGTCACGTGACATACGTAACGGTAGCGCGGCCATTCATATTTCTTCTTGACCTGTGAGTAGAAATGTAAGATGTAAACATTGCAAAAGTTAAAGAACATAGGAATATTTTACGCTGGTCTCCCCATTTACACACAGCTACACACTAGCAATCTGGTCAGATTTCCGAACCAATACACAAATAAGGCAAGAATCCAGGCAAGAGTATGTGTCTAATTTTATACGAAAACGCCGCTGGAACTATGTCGGCCACGCCCTTAGAATGGATAAATCAAGACTTCCTTACCAAGCCCTCATTTGGACACCACAGGGGAAAAGATCTCGTGGAAGACCAAGGGAAACCCTACGTAGAACTATCATCAGGGAAGGCTCGCTCATGGGCCACTCAAACATCCAAGACCTACAACGGATTGCAACGGACCGCCGTGCATGGAGAGTCGCGACCTCTGCCCTATGTGCCGCACTCGACACAAGAGGAAAGACTAACTAATTAACTAACACACTAGCTGACTTCTGATTGGACGACCTACTGACCACCTCACCTCTGATAGGTAGGCCTCGGGCGATCTAACTTTCACACAAGGTCACGTGGATATTTCACGCTCGCGCTCATACCGCGTGTTGTAATTTCACCATGCTAGAGCTTTTAACACTTCTAAAACATGTAGATACTGGGTCTAACACACAACCCCTATAGAGAGTGACAAAACCTATGCCACAGGCCGCCACTTTCTCAGAAATAAAAACGTAAATGCCAGACAACAACAGACTGCGACATTCATAACCTCGATCACGGTAGACTAGTTCAACCAATTATCAATGGAGTTGAATCTACAATCGGCGGTGTGTAAACGCAAAGACCATAGTATAAATAACCAGAACATCATTTAAACAAACGTTAGTCTCCCGAAACAAAATAGGTCACGTTCCATTGATAAATTTGTTGAACTAATCTACCTTGCTTTAGGTAACGGGTGTGGCGCTCTGTTGTTTGCTTTCTGAGATGTCTTGCATTTGAGTGTTTTTTTTCCCCCAAGAAAGAGAATGCATGAGACATAGGTTTCATCATTTTCTAAAGGGGTTTCTTGTTAGACCCAGTTTGTCGATGTTTTTGGAGTGTTAAAAGCGCTGGCTTGCTAAAGTATAGAACATGCGATATCAACGGCTTTGCAGAACACTTCCGTAACGTTGTGCCAAGTCGCGTGGCTCAGGGTAGACCAAACAGAAGTGAGCTAGGCTGAATGTCGACCAATCAGATTTGAGCTAGTGTATAACAGTGTGTAAATAGGGAGAGCAACGTTACTATTACCATAATCCAGTTTCGTCCTGTTAAGGACGAAAGTTTTTGTTATTTGAAACCCCACCCTGGCTTTTGCCAGAGGCATCATCATTCGCAGTCCGACAGCCCAGTCGCACACAGCTCTCTCTCGCTCGCTCGATATACCGCCCGATACAGCCACGTGTGTCTCTCGTTAGCTTGCTAACTATCCATTCGTAGCCAGATTATCAATAGCTAGATACTGGTCAGAACTCGCTTGACATTCGGCTGAGTTTTGGCTCGACTACGCTATTTTTATTCGTCTGCGGGTGGGTTATTAGCGGCCCGGGAGCACATCATTGTTGTAGAGCCAGTCAATACCAGCCATTATTTTGAACGATTGACTAGAGAACTAAGGAGGAAAAGCACGCTTGGGTGTCCTTTTTTAGGATACTCTAACAAGCCTTGCCGACTCCGAAGGGACCTAGCCTTTCGCCACAGATCGCAATTGCCACCAGTGATTTCCTATCATGGGAAAAGAAAACAACAAACCAGCCGCACCTACACCAAGGAAGAGGAGAGCAGCTTACCAGCAGCTTCACCAGCAGGCGCCCCTATCGCGGCGCCTCGACACACACCTACGCCCCAACAACTGAAGCCGCCCCCATCGTGGTTGTGCCAACCCAGAAGCCGCCCCTATCGAGGCGCCGACACCTGAAGCCTCCCCTATCGTGGAGCCCACAACCTAAAGCCGCCCCAGTCGTGGCGCAGGGACCTACAAGCACCCGCTTACCTAAGCAGCAGCCTGGAGCCCACACCACAGACATTATGCAGTGCTCACGCTGCAACAGGGCGTGGCACACACCGCCGCAACCTGTCGCAGTGGCCCAATTTGTCGGTACTGCTCTGGGGGGAGCCCACGACTTCAAGGAGTGCCCGCTAGCGGAAACTCGATAGCGACTTCAAAAAGCCTAACAAAAGCGGAAATGCAGCTGAACTGCTCAGGTTCAAACAGTGCGAGGTACCTGGGGTGCCCATAACCTCAAGAAGTGCAGGAGAGAACTGACAGCCGCCTCATCCAGAGATACATGCCAGGCACCCACAGACAGCCGGAGGCAAAAAGACACCAAAGAAACATACAAAGAGACAAACGAAACGATCAGGCACGCTCCGCCACCATTCAAAACGTTATACCACAAATAATCGACGAACTGAGAAGTCAAATCACAGCGCTCCAGAAAGAAAGAACCACCGCCGCCCGCGGATAAGAACGGAGACCCTGGAACTGATTTCCCTATTGCTAGGAGAGATCAAGGACCTAAAGGCAGAAAGGCTGGCATACGTATTTCTTTTGTACCCAGCACCCCAAACAGACAGTCAGAAGACGCAGAAAACATTCAAAAAACCAGAGAGCTATCTCACCAGCCTCAGAGCAACCCAAGCAGAAGAAGAAATACGCCGCCAGTCAGAGAGAGAGGAGAGAAGGAAGGAGCTGGCCGAGATTACAAACGCACGGGAAGCCGCATGCCACGAAGCCGCCAAACTAGAGAAAGCCACCGCAGAAGCCATAACAGCAGCACAAGCAGCTAAGACAGAAAGAGCCCTGCTGGAGAAAGAAAGAAATGCCACAAAAAAGCCGAATACCAACAAGGCCGACAAAAGCGTCTCCACTGACAATCTAACAACGAAGCATCAGGCGCAAATGACCGAACCAGAACATGATGAAACCGACAAAGAAGACTCTGAAGAGATCCCAGTCATCACAGACACCGAACAGTCAGATGGAGAGATCATATCGGATGAAGAATACACACAAGCAGAGCAGGAGTTTCCGACTGCCAGCAGTGCACCGCCCGAAGAACCCGCTCCGTACGTCTTCGACAAGGAACAATTCCTAAGAGACCAGGAAGAACACTATGCACTGGAGAACTGCCAAGTATGGAACGCAAAAGAGCAAAAATGGGGCCCGCCAAATACCACTCCTACCCAGAGAAACAACCGAGGAAGGCGACGACGACGCTACTAACGTACAAAAAAACCGAGCCGCCATCTTTCTGGAAAAACCATCCCACCAACTGAACGACGCCAGTACGCCACCAGAACCTGACAAGCAGAAGCCAGACCCCGCCCATCCCGTTCCAGGCCACCCGGCACAGGTGGCTGTCCTTCTCAGGACAGCCACGTCCACTCCCTAAACCTGCAAGCCGCCCGCCAAGCCCACGCTGCTGACATAACGCAACAAATGCAAGAAAACTCAGGCGAAAATGTTCGCCGCAAGGAATAAATACAAAGCACACCACCATTGAACCGACTTCGATATAGCAAGCCGTCAGGCAGCTGAAAGAGGTCAAAGTTTGGAATTTTTGTTTCCTATGAATTGAATTGAATTGAATTTTGCCAGAGGCCGCAATATAGGCAGACCAAAAATATGGCCAATTGTCTGAATGCGGTTTCTGGGACCTCTCCACGGCGATCCTCATCGATATGGTGGCACTTTGTGTCATCGGGTGTTTGTCGCTTGTGTGATGTCCTGGTGGGGTGGAAAGTCAGTCAGTACTATTACCAGAAGATATTCTCCTCAAAAGTTCATGCTGTGTGGCATTGGTAGCCATGTTTTATCAACCACCTTCTGTTTCGTTTACTTTCAATCAGCTCTGAATCAGATGAGTCTCAAACTGTCCAGCATCTTTTGTCTCGGTCTCCCTCTGCATCTCTTCCCCTCCAACTTTCCTACTGTCACGATGTACTCCATTTTTCTCCTTCTCATGACGTTTCAAAGAATCTAGATTGTCTCTTCCTGATGTGAGCAATCAGTTCTCTTCGTGAGTCAGTTTCTTTCAAGGCGTCTTCATTACTCTTTTTATCCCCCCGGGGTATTCTCGTCATTTATCTACAAAACCTATCTCCGCAGCAACCAAATAATATTTTTTTTTTTTAACTAATTTACCAACTGTTTATGATTGCCTTCCGCAATATCAGGATAGGCTTTGTACAGCTTATATTAACAGTTTGAAGAATTCTTTTTCTCGTCTCAACTGAACATCATCTAGCCCACTGGAAATATCGTAGGGGCGCCAGAACCTAGGAGCTCAAAATATTTTAGCGCCTCCCCCTCCCCCGCCAATAAACTGTAGAGGTGAGCTGAAAGCATCCCCCCACCCCCCACACCCATCCCTGTTTTAAAGAAAAAAAAAAGAAAACGTGTAAGCTGTTATACACCCCTCCAGCAGCCATGTAGGGAAGTTCTGTTTATTAGTATTTATCTATACATTTACTATTGTTTAAAATATATTTTTACACTTATTCAACATTCACTACACTATAATTATCTCTATTATTATCGTAATCATCATCATCATCATCATCACCATCATTATTTTAAGTCAGTAAAAGAAGAAAATAGGGCATTTAATTCAACTACTATAATCCTTTCAAAAAGTCGTACCCAACTTTAAAAATGTGAAACTCAGTAACCATTCTGTGTAAAGTTTGGAAATTTGTCATGCAGTCTGTTAATAGTCATGTCCTTGTGGAAAAATATTTATAATATTAAAAAAAAATAAAGTTTTATTTGTGCTTTATGCAAAAACAGACACCGACTCAAAGCATACTGCACGCGTTTTAGAGGCAATCCGTGCGAGAAGCTACGGCCGACGTATTTTGAGTACTGAAGTGGATACGTCATGTATTGGCATAATACTTGTTGACTGGTTGATTAAAAATGCATACTTTGTGTCAGTCACTACATGTCTTTTTTTTTTTTGAAAGGGGGGGGGGGGGGGGGGGGAGAGCAGGTAGATAGACTGGCTGGTTTTGCAGCACTTGGTGTTAAATTGATGTATGACAAGCTAGATATTGTGAGGGCTCTTTGAGAGTGAGTAAATAGTGCAGAGGCGCAGATAGATCATTACGGTCTGAGGAGAATGGCCCTGCGAGGAGTTACCAGGGGATCTGGCCGACGCGTTAAACTCAGGGGAAGATGAGACGGATATACAATCAGACGGTTACTGGTGCCATCAGAATTGAAAGTTTTCGCTTGCTGCTGAAGATGGGAACTGAGCAATTGTGGGATTGTCCCGAGTGCTGTGATGTCGACTCCTAATTCAACATTCTTTTTTCCCCCTCTTTTTCCCCTTAAATTATCAGTCCGACAAAAATACAGCAAATTGGCTGCTGCATAAAAAACAGCAGCACCTGTGCAATTGTAAACTGTAAAATCCTGTAGAATATAGGGAATTTAAGTTTTAAAAAAAAAGTAAAGGACGCTTTTCCAAGCCTTTAAGCGTATATGGCCAGACCTATATTTTTATAAACCAATCGGCACAAGATGGGTGATGTGGTCAGCATCACGCCGGCCGCCTTTACTTTTCCTGGACTGCACCGGTACCCACTCAAGGCTGGGTCGACCTGGTAGCCAAGGTCATTTTTAAAAAAAGTCAGGCTCCAGGGAATCTAAGACCACATGCAATAATGCAACTTCATCCGTACAGGAGTTTTGAAGATATTTGTTACAGTTTGAGGGCACGACTTTTCGAATAGACTATACTAGCATGACAAGGAAGGTAAGCGGGCGCTTACCTGGCTGGTGGGACAGAAAGCAACTCACGCACTGATAGTCCTAAGAAGATCCAAACTGGCAAACGCAGCCTAGAATTGGTCGACATCATCCAGGAGTCCCGCCTAAAGGCTCTATACGCGAGGACACGATGGGATGGATAGAAATGAAAGAACCGACAGACTGGTCAATTCTGCAGTAGTTAGTAGAAGAAGGAGTATGAACAGATCAGACAGACTGAATGCTCTCTGTTTAAAGGGTGGAATGTTGAATGCTGAATTGAGAATCGACATCACAGCACTGGGCACACTCCATAACGTGCATCCGTCCCTATCGTCAGCAACAAGCGCAGAGTTAAATTCCGATTTCATGTTTTCTGGGTACCAGTAACTGTCTGATTGTATATCCGTCTCGCCTTTCCCCTGGTAATCCTCGAAGCGCCATTTTTCTTAGACCGTTAATGATCAATTTGTTCCTCGGCACTGTGACACTCGCAACCCAAAGGGCCCTCACAAACATCCAGCTTGTCATAAATCAGTTAACCACAAATGGGGCCGCAGAAAACGGCCAGTCTATCTGCCGTCATTTCAGAAAAGTTGCGGGGCAAAAAATC